ATATTTTCCCTGTAGGCTTTAACAGTGTCACCTCTGTTATGTTAATTCTGATTAAAAAAAAAACAAAACGACAAACAAAAACCATATACCTACAGCTACCTATGTATTTACTTATAAGCAAAGGGATTAAACTACACAGTAAATAGAAAAATAAAAATTGATTCGCAGAGTCACTGTAGCCTAGGGGTTGTGTCTACTTGCACAAAGTAGAAAAATGGTGGCTGGCCATCTGCATTTCTTTTTAGTCTACATCACCTTTACAGATTAGATCTCTAGTGAAGTTCAGACTGCCAAACACATGTAAATGTCTATATATATACCCTTAAATATAGCAATCTAATCGCAAAAGTAATCCCACTCCAGAGAATGTTTTCTTTTACATAGGTAAAGGCAGATATTACCATTTGAAATGCCCTTGTGTTTCATAGGCATCCTCATGGAACTGAGATGTCCAAGACATTGTCAGTCTTCTTTAGCAGCATGTGAAGACCAGAGAGAGTGCTTTTCTGGCACCTAAAATGAAATTGAAGTCATATGTTTAGAAAACTGAGTCATACACAATATATTTACTTCATATTAAACTTAAAGTTTGTCTCATAAATGAAAAACCCAAATGCAGACATATCGTGGTGTAGTTGCTGCTTAACACAAGGAATGCCCTTTTTTGTCTCAATTTATCTTAGTCACTCCTACTTACTATCTTCTTCTGGATAGACATGTCTTTGGATTAATGGTTCAAGCACTGATCTGTGGAATGGAATCCTTGAATAACAGAGAGAAACAGGAAGACTAGTTGTGACATTTGGGTGAAGTTTCAGGGGTAGAGTTACTGATTGCTCTTGACGTGAAGCACAAGGGAGATGATTGGAATATGTATGAAATTATTTTATTACCTTTGGCACATTCTGAGGAATGCTGGGGAAACCGGAGGGAAAAAGTTCTGTCTTCGCCTTCTGAGGGCCATGTGCTCTAAACGCACACTCTCATGAGTCCAGAAAGTGGTATTTGTAATGTTATCTCTTGAAAAGTTTACATGTTATTATGCAAGATGTACAGCAGATATTCCTGATTTATGCATATTAAGAAATCATGGTCTCTGAGTGTTTGTCAATCTTGAATTATATTTAGAAATACACTGTGAAAAGAAGAAAACTCCAGAAAATTCTAAACACACCTTGTATGGGGCCTTAATTAACCTTGATATTATGAGCAAAATCCTCACAGTCTTTTCATTGACCAAGGAATGAAGCACCCTTTTTTTTTAATTTAATTTGATTTTATTTTTCATTGAGTTTGTTTTATTTGTAAGTTGATACTTCTTAACTTTGATCAGTTTGAAGGAGAACTTTGCAGTTAGGTGTATTTATTCAGCCAGTTCATTTATATATTCTTTCAGGGTTTTCTTTTTTATACAGTATTAATTCTGTCAGACTTTATCGAGAAAAAAAGAGCAAAGAAATGTAAAGGCTTATAATTAGTAACATATAAAAGAAATTATAATGAGTGCACATAAAATGAAAATGCAAATTATTTCCTGGGTCTTTGTAGATGAAGGTGTTGGGAATCAGCTGTTAATCCATGGGGAATTCATTAATGAACTAACAGTTCTATAACAGTTCAGCAGATATTTAATAAATACCTGAAATATGTTTATATATCTGTTGCTTTCGCTTTTGTGACTTGTAATTAAAACAGCAATTGTATCTCTCTCACACAGACATTTTTTTAAAGGCTACACATGGACTGAGAAAGATAGAAAAGAATGAACTGAGAGATTTAGATTTCCTCTCTAGGTACATCTCATGAGGGAGGGTTGGGTTTGCTGTAGTTTGGAGAGTTTTAATTTTTCTTACCTTAGTCACTTTTGCTCCATTATGTTAAACAACCTGCTGTCACAAATTTGTAACCTATTTTTCACATTTTTTTCCTGAAAAAAAAAAAGTCTAGAAACATCCACACAGAATGTTCCACACAGAGTTAAATAGCTACAGAAAAGTAAATATATATTAGAATATATATGAAATGAGTGAAAAACAAGTACTCATTTAATACCTAAAGAACAGGAAACAGAAAAGTTAAAATCATGAAATATCTTGAAGACTTTTAATATAGTGCTTATATTTCTAGCTCTAACATTTCTAAAGCAAGTGCTTCAGCAAAAGCATGCATTTAACTAAAGGACTTTTTCATTAATGAATGTTTCTTCCGATGCTGCAGGTTTTTTGCACAGCTTCTATATCCTTTTGATATGATTTACATTCCCTCTAAATTAAATGTCCTGTTTATGGACTCCCCTATAACAAGCATTGTCAATGTAGAAATTGGTATTTGGATCTGCATGAATATTATCTCCTCAGCTACTGTCTCTGCAAAGTTGACCTTCAGTTTGATTCAGAACACACAATTTGAAACTATCATCCAAAGATACATTTAAAAATAGCACCAGCTGAAAATTAAATTTAAAACAGAAGATCCATTACACTGGGAAGCTTCCTTTGGTTCATTTTCCAAGATATTAGTCAGAAAAGTGCTTTCTTCTGCACGTCTCTAACCAAGAACTTAATGGGTATTCTTTGTAAAGAATATTCTAATTTAAAGTTAGTAATGGTAGTGGTAATAAACTTTACCTAGAAAAATATCCTTCAGAAAATATTTTGCATACATTTCAGAAAAAAAAAAGAAGGCATATTTTCTTTGTTTAATCTCTAGCATGCCATTGCACATATCTACCCTTGTGTTACATCTAGACGTTGGTTTGCTCTGCCGCTGAGTAGAAACCTCTTTCAGCACATTCCTGTGACAATATAATGCATCTTCATCTGGCCTCATTGCAACTTCTGCTTTAATCTTTTCCCTTATAAAAATTTCTGTGCATCATAATATTTACTTCAAGGTCTGAGTTGGAGGAAAAAAGAAATATTACCATACATATATGGAGGAATAATCACCCTTTTAGCTTTTTGTCAGGTTTGTGGGGTTTTTTAATTACTTTATTTTCACCCCTGAAATATTTGCATATCTGAGTTGAAACTGGCAAAGTACAACTGATTTTTAGTGATCTATTCCACCAAGAAACTAGTAGTCAGAAGTTAGCATTTATATAGGAATATATATTTCATAATCTTATAATTATGGCTGAAAGGATTTTCCCTTAATGTTCCAGAAATTTTTGCTTTAGGAAGGAAGCCAAGCATGAACAAAAATAAGCTTTAAGAAAAGTTTCTTATATTAAGTCCAAAAAGAGTTTAATAAGGAAGGAAGTCTATTATATAGCAAGGTTAAATTTAGATTTTGTTGCTATTGAAAGCTGTCACTTTACAAAGAAATGTAAATTTCTCTGCCAGGAAGGAACTAACTTCCTCATTTAACCTTTATTTTTAATGAGAACCCATTTCCCATAAATAGCAACAATTATCTCTCCAAAACTGTCTTTCACCTTGATTCTGAAAGCGGCAGCAGGTTTTATGAGCATACAATATCTATGTATATTATTTTGGCATATTTCATGCTAAAATGTTTCACTTCTAATAAATCTGAAATGTAGGTTAAAATACAGCTCTAATCTGAATAATGACTGATGAGATTGACAGCTAAATTGACTAATAGTAGAACAAAATGACAGAGGACAGAGAATTTATCATAACAAAGGTACACAGAGGGACTAAAATAAAGATAATGCAATGTGAAAAGAGAGAGAACAAAAGATTAAGATGGAGAAGGAAATTATAAGTAATATAATTTGTCTTGATTTCTCCCCTCTCCTTAGCCCTAGTGAGACCACATGTTGAATACTGTATTCAATTCTGAAGATCCCAAAGAAGGGTCCCTAAAATGATGAGGGAAGGCTGAGAGAAGGCTGTTTAGTCTGGAGAAGAGAAGGCTCGGGGGGATCTCATCAATGCATATAAATACATGAAAGGAGGGTGCAAAGAGGTGGTGCCCAATGACAGGACCAGAGGCAATATGCACAAACTGAAACACAGGACAGTCCATCTGAACATAACGAAACACTGTTTTTTACTGGAAGGGTGACCTGAGCACTAACAAAGACTGCCCAGAAAGGCTGTGGAGTTTATTCTTGGACAAGATGTGTTCCCTTCCAACTTCAACCATTCTGTGATCCTGAGTACTGTGATACTAGCTAATTTGAGACACAGCTCTAAACTTTTTCTCTGCTTAAGTATCACACCTCTAACAGCTAATTTGATTCTTTTGGTTTTAATTAGTCTTCCTTCAGTAATCATTGCATCATAGAATCGTAGAACAGTTGGGGTTGGAAAGCACCTTAAGATCATCTAGTTCCAACCCCCCTGCCATGGGCAGGGACACCTCCCACTAAACCATGTCATCTAAGGCTCCGTCCAACCTCGCCTTGAACACTGCCAGGGATGGAGCATTCACAACTTCCCTGGGCAACCCATTCCTGTGCCTCACCACCCTTACAGCAAAGAACTTCTTCCTTATATCCAATCTAAACTTCCCCTGTTTAAGTTTTAACCCATTACCCCTTATTCTATCACTACAACCCCTAATGAAGAGTCCATTCCCAGCATCCCTATAGCCCCTATACAGTAATACTTTAAATAAAAAACAGAACTAGCATAGGGGATATGTCTCTCGTGGTTTGTTCTGATGCTAATCTTATTTGTTTGTTGGGTTTGGATTTGACTGAGGTTTTTTATAACTTCTGTCTTGGTTTCAGCTGTGATAGAGTTAATTTTCTTCCTTACTAGGAAGTACAGTGCTATGTTTTGTCTCTAAGTCTGAGAACAATGCTGATAAAACACCTGTGTTTTAGTTGTTGCTAAGTAATGCTCACTCTGATGAAGGACTTTTCAGTCTCTTATGGTCTACCAGTGAGGAACAGCAAAAGAAGCCAGGAGGGAGCAGAGACAGGACACCTAACCCAAGCTAGCCAAAGGTGTATTCCATACCACAGTACATCACGCCCAGTATATAAACTGGGGAGAGCTACCCGCAAGGGATCGACCGCTGCTCAGGTCAGGCTGGGTATTGGTCAGCAGGTGGTGAGCAATTGTATTGTGCATCAGTGTTGCTTGTTGTGGGTTTTTTGTAGTAGTGTTTTTTTTTTTTATATTGATTTTTTTTTCTCCATTTTAGTTTTATATCTCCCTCCTTTATATTCCCCATTTCATTATTATCATTAGTACTATATTGTACTTATTTTTACTTATCAAACTGTTCTTAACACACAGGTTTTACCCTTTTCCCCTGATTCTCCACCCTGTTCCACTGTCTGTGGGTAATGAGCAAGTGGCTCCATGGTACTTAAGTTACCAGCTGTGGTTAAACCATGACAACTTCCTTTGGCTGGCTCACAATTCAATTTTTTATTCATTTCTCTTTTCTCTGAGGCTTTCAAGTGGCAGGTTATGTGACTAGTACTCACCTTCACCACCTTGAATATCTTCTTTCCTCCCAGTTGTAAGTGAGACTCTTAAGTTCTGACTCCCATGCAAGGAAAACTGAATTCACACTGTAAACCATTCAGCATGCAACTTTCTCTTTTTACTTTTTTGCTTTAAGCATCTGAAGCGTTGTCTGCATACAGATGCAAGCCATATGTATAAACTCATCCATCAATGCATATTGTATAACATAATAAGTATTTTTTTCATTTCTTTTCAAGATTTTTGAATTTTCAAGACAGTGAAATAAATATATTTACCTATTTGTTGCTCATTCAAGATGGTAATGTATTTTCCTCTGCAGTGAAATGTTCATCAGTGAGAAAAGAGCATTGAGAGCTTTCATGAGATTCCCATTGGAACCACTTGTTCTCTCTCCACATGTTTTGAACAGCTAAAGTCTGGCTTTCAAAAAGTTCAAATCATGTATAGTAATAAGGCAAAAAAAGGAATAAAAAAATAGTAACTTTTGTTATGCTCTGTAACATTGCTAATGAAGAACTTATTTTCTTTGTCAGTTCTTGGGTTTTGGTGCAATATTCTTTGCTGCCTGTTCCGCATTGTGCCAAATTCTGATTGCATGGTATTTTCAGATGGATCCAAACTCCTTATTTACATTAAAAGATATGAGATGAGGAGAAAAAGAAAAAAAAAGAAGAAAAAGAAGCACGAACAAAAAACCCCCAACAAACCTGTGTGGATTAATAAAAACTCCTTATTTACATTAAGTCCTCAGAGATCACAGGGGCTGTGTGCAGTTAGTGTTAATTTTTGATTACAACCAATTTGACAGTCCTCAGAGATCACAGGGGCTGTGTGCAGTTAGTGTTAATTTTTGATTACAACCAATTTGACACTAGACATCTGGTCACATTCAATAAGAACTTTCGCAATTATGGATTCACAAATAATGTGGTTTATTGAAACAACAGAAATGCAGATTTGGAATTGCCATTGATAAATTCACTTACTGCATTAGCACTAAAATTCAAAACTAAACAACAATTAATTGAGCTTATGTGAAAAAAAAAAACCTAGCAATTAGTAATTCATTAAGCTTGGTTCCATGTGTGTATCATCCCACATAGTTGGAGGTGCAAATCTTACCAAAGAGGTCTCCCTGCTATGGGGAAGAGAGAGGAGCAAGCCCACTGACTTGTCTGTAAGGTAGGGTCTGCAAAGAATATTCTCATCCTTTGCCATAGAGTTCAAATGCCAAATTTATACTTTGGACAGAAGTAGAGGTGAGACTGTAGTCAAATTACCTGTTACAGCCATTATAGATAGTGTAGGGGGTAGCCACTTTCTCACTTTGGTGTATTTTTATATATAAATGAGAGATAATGAGAGTTTTGATTACCTTAGGTCAGGCTGCTCAAGAGCTGTGGGTCCTGTGCAAGCCTGGAACAGAACCGTGAAACATTAGTATCACACCCTCTTCCACCTAGCTGAAGCAGCATTAAGGGGCCATCAGGCCTCTGCCTGATAGCTTCATCACCCACATCATCAGCCCATCAGCCCCTATCAGGGTGTTGCAACTACCACACTTCATTAATCCCTTCCTCACATATCTCACGCCCTCAAGCCTTATTCCTAAAGCTTATAGCTAGTGGTCTTACTGGGTCCAGTTCTGTTCAATTTATTCATCAGTGACTTGGATGAAGGCATAGAGAGCCTCCTCAGCAAGTTTGCTAATGAAACGAAACAGGGTGTGCTGGGCTATCATCATTCAGAAGGATCTAGACAGGCTGGAGAGAAGGGTAGAGAAGAACCTTTTGAAATTAAACAAAGGCAAGTCCTGCACCTGGGGAGGAATTACCCCATGCACCATAGGCTGAGGGCTGATCTTCTGGAAAATATCTTTGTGGAGAGCTATTCTCCTTTGTGGCTTCAAGTTGTCCACAGGACAGCAACATGCCCTTGTAGCCAAGAAGGCCAGTAGTATCCTGCATTAGGAAAAGCACTGCCAGCAGGTTGAAGGAGATAATTCTCCCTCTCACTCAGCCCTGGTGAGGCTGCACTGGGAGTACTATGCTCACTTCTGGGCTCCTTTGTATAAGAGACACGGAGCTTCTGAAGCAAGTCCAGCAAAGGGCTACTAGAATGACTAAAGGTTTGGAGTATCTTTTGTATGAGGAAAGGCTGAGGGAGGTGGTTTTTTTTCAGCCTAGGTAAGGTTAAGGGAATTTGATCAATGTATCTGAGTATCTGAAGGGAGGGTGTCAATAGGATGGGGCCAAACACTTCTCAGTGGTGCCAGGCAATAAGATGAGAGGCAATGGGCATAAACTAAAACACAGGAAGTTCCACCTGAACATGAGGAAGAACTTACTGTGAAGGTGAAGGAGCATTAGAATTGATGCCCAGAGAGGTTGTGGAGCCTCCTTCCCTGGAGATAATTCAAGAGCTGTATGGACACAGCTCTGATTCATATGCTCTAGGTGGCCCTGCTTGAGAGGGATGTTGGTTTAGATGACTTCTGGTGGTGTTCTCCACCTCAACCATTCTGTGATTCTGCGAAAAGTGACTTATAAGAGGTGGAGTGATGGCAAGTAGCCCATGAGGAATGTGGAGGCTCTGTCCAAGCATGCAGGGTTGGGGTCAGGAGAACCAAAACCCGCATGGAATTGCATCTGTCAATGGATGTGAAGGGCAACAAGGAGGGCTTCTACAGGTTAACCATCAGCAAAAGAGTAGGAAAGATGTTGGCCTGCTGCTGAATGGTACAGGAAACCTGGTGACAAAAGACATGTATGGATTTATGAAGGTATAATTATGCCTGACCAAACTGATAGCTTTGTGCAGTGAAATAACTAGCTCAGTAGATGAAGAGAGTGCAGCAAAAGTTGCTTATCCTGACTTTAGCAAAACTTTCCACAATGTCTCCCATAACATGTTCATAGATGAACTGATTAAATATGGTCCAGATAAATTATAGTGCAAAGTGGATTGAAAAAAGCCTGAATTGCTGGACTCATACAATTGTTATGAGCAAGACAATCTAGCTGGAGGACAATCAGTAATGATGTATCTCAGAGGTTAACACTGCTGTTTAATATTTTCATTAATTACCTAGGAAAAAGTGTATACTTTGAAAGTTTGCAATGATATAAAACTGGGAGAAGTGTTTGACAGGTCAGACAGTTGTGTTGCCATTCAAATGGACCCTGACAGGCTGGAGAAATGGGTCAATGTGTATCTCTGCAAGTTCAGAGAAAGGGAATGCTAAGTCCTTCACCGGGTAAGAAAAAAATCATGCATCAGTACATGGTGATAGTTGGCTGGCTGGAAATCAATTTTGCAGAAATGATCTGGGAATTCTAGAGGACACCAAGATAAACATCAGTCAGCAGTGTGCTCTTGCAGCAAAGAAGACCTACAGTTTCCTTGGCTTCATTAGGCAGAGCATTGAATGCAGGTAGAGGGAGATGATTCTGACCATCTGCACTGAACTGTTGAGATCTTGCCTGGAGTGTTGTGTCCAGTGCTGAGCTTCTCCTGCTAAGAGAGACATAACACATTGGACCAAGTTCAATGAAGGGAAAAGAAAATGTTATATTGGAATAGGTGCCATATGAGGAGATGCTGAGATAGTTGAGACTGTTCAGCCTGGTGAAAAATCAGGGTGTTTTTATCAATGCAGATAAATACCTGATGGGAGTAGCAAAGAAGGCAGAGCTAGATTCATCTCAGTGATGTCCAGTAAAATGAGAGGAGGCAATGGGCACAAATAGATATTTTATTTAAACATACATGAGAGTGCTGGAATAGCAGAACGGGTTGCCCAGAGAGATTGTAGAATCTTCATCACTGGGAGATATTGGGAGATACGATTTTATGATTCTATTTTATGATTCTATATTAAAAATATGGCTGTACACAGCTCTGGGGACCTAAGTCTAGGTGACCCTGCTGTGAGCAATGGTTTGGACGAGAAGATCTTCAAAGGTATCTTTGAACTTCATTTTGAGATTCTGTGATTTTGCGATTCTGTGATTTTGCATTTGGTGTTGACTCTAGGTTCTGGAGTTCTGGGGCAGAAGTTCATGGTGTTGTGTATGTTAACTCACTGCAGTATCAGTTTCAGTAATGAGGTACTATTACAGGAGAAATATGTAGAAAATTTGATTTGGATTAACTAAAATGAAAATTCATGGAAGTTGACTGAATGTAAAGTTAAACTGGTATGCTTGATGGCTAGATTAGAACATTTTTCTGTTCATTCTATTGAAGGAGTTCCATATTTGGTAGTAAGAGAAACATACTTCAGTACAAAAATTTAGTGACATTCTAGAAGAATTCTACTATAAATTCTAGGTTTTTCTCATGAGCTTGCTAACTCTGGTCTTCAAAAACATGTTTTTTTTTTTTTTGTCTGAAATATAGTAGAGGAATAAGAAGTACACTTCCTTTATTATTTCGTAAAATATTTTTCATAAAAAAAAAAGGAAAAGAAAGGCTTTTAGCATTTACCTTCATAGCTTCTACTACAATGAGTAATCAGAATCTCCCGAGGGCTCTCTAAGTACCTCAATTATACAAAAATAATGCATGAAATTTGTCATACGTGATCAATATATACTATCTGTCATCTA